GGAAGAAGAAAGAAAGGAAGCAGAACCAGGTAGGATTACTAGGGGACATTACACTTTAACTATTTTTAAACTGCAAAGACCTTAAGAAGAAGTTTAAAAAGGGAAAAAAAAAACAGGATGGACAGTTTTGGTCTTACTTGTTGAAGTATTTTTAAAGCATTCCTTCCTTGGGAAGATGCTTCTCCACACATCAAGTTTCCTAGATGACAGATCAGATAGCTTAATTACTATGTTCAGAAAGGTTTGGAGTAATTGTGTTTTAAATATTTGAGATAGCCTGAATTGATTTCATAGCATGAAAAAAGCACATGGAAAATGGGCAAAACACATTTGCTCTAAGCCAGGTTCCCCCTTTTAAGTGATGTTCAGCTCACTGGGTAAGCATAAGGCAATGGACATGATACATCTTTTCTGGCTTTTGGCACCATCTCACAAGGCACTTCCATAGAATGAACATTTTAAATACAACCAGTGGAAGGTGTGCAGGCATCTGATAGAAGGAGACCACAGTGGTCATTAGTGGTTAGTTATCAAAATGCAAATGCACCTCACAAAGAAACCTTTCAGGGTCTGTCCTAAGCTCTGTTTGTTTAGTATGTTCACTGACAACTGAGATGATGCAATATTTATGCTTATAAAGCCTGTGATAAAGAACCTGATACCTCAAAACAACGGCAGGAGATGCAAGCGCCAGGAAGGATGAGGTCAGACACCCCAAATGCTATTGACAAATCGGACATGTCCAAAAAAACAAGTTAAAAAACAGCAATGAGAAATATAAATTATTATTGTTAGGAAGGACATCAATAATCATTGTGAATTCCTGACTAGACAGAAATACAGCAAGAACAGCTTTTAGACTTGTACGGATAACAAACAACATAAATCAACAGTGCAGTACAACTGCCAAAAAAATGTGTTTAATTCTGGAATGCACCAGCAGGTGTGTCATGTGCAAGACAATTTGTTTGATTCCTTAACTTTGCATAGTACTGAAGTCCCAAGTGGCTGAGTCTGTCCCTGGTTGAACACCTTAGGAATATAAACACAGCTGAAGAGAAACAAGAAAAGAACAAGAACAAGGACTGTAAAAAACAACCCCTTTGAGAAAAAGCTGAAGGAATTAGATTTGCCTTAGTCAAGAAAATAAAAGCTTCAAGCGAGATGCAGCTTTCTGATACACACAAGCTCATTAGAGAGATGTTGATCAGTTACCCTCAATGGCTCCACTAGAAAGACATGAAAGAGTCAACATGATTTGTGACAAGAAAGGCTTAAAAGATTTTGCTGATCAGCATTCCAACTAAGAGGTTTTCAACACTGGAGCTGGCTGGAAACTTCCACTGGAAATTTTTAGGAGCAAATTTGGTAAGCTTGCTGGTGTTAGCCTCAATATATTTAGTCTTGCTGCAGTGCAGGCTGGACTTGGTGATCTTTTGGGACTGCTCCCAAACCCAAGTTCCACAATGGATATAATCTGGAAAATTCTAACTGGAAAGATCACTACAAACCCTGTGCTCTGGTTGATCAGATTCTGTATTACCAGTGAGCTCCCCTAACTGAACAGAAGAGTCAGGAAAATCGCAAGTTGCTCTCAACAGAGCTCTAAGTTCAAGATATAATCACAGTTTCCATGTTATCAGACTACAGTTTTTTTCCAATGGCCCTTTTAATTTCTATCCTTACTCCTACATTACCCACATCAGTTCCACATCAGTATCACCACTGAACCAAAGAGGTGGAAGCCTAGAATACCAAGTAAGTGAAGTGTCAAGATTTTACCCATACATAGGAAGATGCAGTTATCAGTTGAGCCTCTGAATTCACTGTTGGACATGTAAAGACCCTGTCACCACTGTCCTTGACAGTGTTTCTCAAATTCCTGCCCACTTATTCTTAAGAAAAAAGTAATCCATGTGCCAACTGCTTCAGTGCTACCACAATACCACCATTTACATCAAAATCAGGTTCAGGTTAATAAATTACAGCTTATGTGTTACTTCATTTTCTCCACCCTTCATCTGTCTGTTGCCTTTTACACATTCCAATTGCACATTTATTTTGGGAAACTGTGATCATCTCGTGAATCACCATCAATTCTAAGTGCAGAACAGCAAAACTGACGATTACATTAAATGGCTACATTCAGAAGCTGAGATAGGGAGAACCTTGCAAAAGGCCCTTTGCAACTTAATGACCGAAGTGCAGCTTCATTGTCTGAAACCCTCATTTTGTGTGTGTGTGTGTGTGTGTGTGTAAAGTGGGACTGAAATCAACCTGCCAGGCTGCTCAATCTTCCACTCTGGGGGGAAAACACCCAACTAACAACACCCAAATGTTATGTAAATTGACTTTCAAACCAGGGGAAAAAAAAGACAACCTACAACACCAAACCTTTCTTCATGTTTTCTTTGAGATGCTAGCTCTTCCTGGGTGTCTTGCAAGTTGGTTCTGCTCTTTCTTTTGCTGGTTCCCTTACATCCTCTATGCAAAAATAATGCAAATACACCTTCTTTTATTCCTGCTGAGACTCCTCCCTGCAGTGAAATGGCATTTACCCAGGCCTTGCACAATGTCTGCATTGCAAAGGTAGCCTGTGGCCTAGCCTTAGGAACAGCACAGCTTAATACCTTGAGTCTGGCACAAAAAAAAAGACGAGGAAAGAGGATGAGCATAAAAGGAAAATATTCTTTTAAAAGCTAGCAGTAGAAGGATTCAGTTTGAAGACAGAAGCCTAACCCCTTTTATTCTGCAAGCACATTCAAATGGATAAGTAAGAAGTTGTGGCTCCTAGATTAATTTTTGACTGTGCAGAGAAGCATTTTCAAAGAACTGAAGACCAGTGTCTGTCTTTGACTTCAAGCTGTTAATGTGGTTTGTCATCAACAGTCTCTGTATTCAGTTAAAAATTTTGTGGTAGCAATCAATCACACAATCAGAAAGAAAGGTGACCTTATGTCTCAGTATGTGGAGTATTTCTGATGCACTGAGTTTTCGTTTCTCAGAAAACAAGAATACTTGTAAGGGAAACAAGCAGTCACAGGAATAGATGTGAAAGTCATAAACAAGCCTTTCCCTCAGCGCACATGTCTTTCCCTCAGCGCACAACCCTTTCTTGTTTGCAGAAGCCCTGCCACTATGGAGATGTAAAAATGTAGACAGACAGATAAAGAGTGTTTTCTTTCTTGAAGATGATTCAGTTCTAATACCTTACTGGCATGATGGGTTAGGCAAGTACTGCCAGCATGCACAAGATATAACCCTTGAGTCTTTCTGATAAGAGATACAGCATGTCAACCATCTGCTTTCCTATCAGGTGGCTGAATCAGAGATGCCTCTTAACACCTCTCCCTCTAGCTCTTGATAAATGTGAATGAGGGAACAAATTAATTGCTTCTTACCAGCACTGAGACCTGTATAAAAGCACAGGTGGGAGCAAAATCCAGAGTTGCACACACCCTCCACATGAGTCTGAAATCAGCCACCCACACCTATGCTCACATGTCCAACCTCCCTCCTAGCCACACATACCTGTGTCCAGCCACCTCATTGCCTTTTTAGGATTTTAGGATTCTTAAACATATTAACATCATGTTAGCAAGCTGAGTTCAAGGTAATGTAGGTTTGTGTATTGCATTTCCATTTATGCTTCATTCTAGGTCAGCACAGTTGATGGAAACTTTATTGATGACTTCAGCAAGCACAAAGCCATGCTTTTAATGCACAGCAAAACCCCTGTCACAGAGAGTGCAGGTTTCTGTTTCACTTAACTCAGAGCACACTGAATATGCTTAGTAAATATCAGAAATGGACTCTAGTCACAGAGTTTGAGAGAAACTCGGATCTACAGCTAACCTGTAAGTGTTCAAGGAACAGCTCCTCTTTCATTAACACTGTGTAGAGTTTAACACATAAAGAGCTGGAACCTTGAGGATATTTTCTTACTAACATGTCATTATCAGTTTCAAAGGCAGAAAGGTCAATCTATTTCCCTCTGGTTTAGAAACTACCATGATGAAGTTGACAAGAGAGAAATCTAAATACATTCCTCAGATAAAACTCAATCAATGTCTTCATTTGCTACTATATTTTGGAAGAAGTTCTACATTCCCTCTATTCTGTTTAGAATTAATTGCCATTATCTTCATTTGCTGTTTCAGTTTCCCATGGATTATCTTCTCTCTCTAAGTCATTTGCATTGCATACTACCCTTTTCATCTCCCATCCACTGCTCCTCAACTTATCTTTCTAAGTACGCCAATCATTGTATCATCTTCTGGTCTCTTCTAGTGACTCCACAAAGATGTTACTCTTGAAAACACCTTGAGTATTATGTAGAAGAAAGGAAAGAACATTCATCACTGGACTCTTACAGTACAGAGTGAATGACTGGGATACCAGTGTGTGCTTCACTACAAAAAAAACCAGCAATTGACTTGAGCTTTTGCATAGCTGCCTGGTTCCAAAGTGCTCCCTCACAACAGCCATAATATTCAGACTCTCTTCTGTGTAACTAGTGAGCAGAACTAAGGATTGTTTTGCAGGAATTTTAATGAATCTGTGATCTCTTTGTTTTGCTTTTTTGTTGTTTTTTTTTTGGTTATTCTCCCCACCCCACCCCCTTGCTTCCATCATTTGCTTTTCCATCTAGACACTATAAGACAAGCACTTTGGATATGCTAAATCTCTGTACTGCACACAAAGTAACACACCTTTCCCCTAACAGCTGGCCAGAACAGCCATCAGAGTTACTGCTTCACTTCAGCCCAAGAAGCAACAGCTCACTCCCACACAGATTTGCCTACTCTCTTGCTCACACAGAGAGCCATTTACTTATGGTAATTCTTTCACACAGACACTTGGTCTAATAGATAATGCAGCCTGGCAGCTTAAGTTTGCAAGGACATTCAGTGAGTAGTAACAAAGAATGAAAATTGCAGGCCTTCTTAGGTTACCCCCCAGGATGAGCTAAGTCTTGGCTGTCAGAAATATTTCCCGTGCCAGAATTTCATAGTGATATTTATTTTTACCAGACATTTTAGGCGTTTTTGTTTGGCATGAGAGATCCTGCAAACTCTGCCAGAAACGGCTGTTTTTCTTCTCTGCATCATTAGTGGGGCAGCATTCCAGCAGAGAAGGGTCACTTGCTTGGTACTTAAGTACTTTTAAAGATGTTGTCCTTTCCTTTCTGACAAGATAATGGGAACAAAACCTGAAGGAGAGTCTTTCAACAGTTTGCTGTTACTTAAAAGGCCAACTTTGCTTGCTAACATTGAGCTCCAAACCAACCAGAATTTGGTCAGTGCATTTAATACATGCCAGGAATCTATCATACAACTTAGAGCTACCCTTGATTTTAAAATGAAGATGTGGCCTCCTTAAGCCACAGGACCTGTCATAATGATATTCCCTCATCTGATAAGCAAATCACCCTGAATTTAGAAGTGCACCTTTTAAATTCTAAAGAGTAGATTCTTCTAAAGAGTAGATGAATGTTTTATATTTAAAATACAAGGATCTGGGAGCTTGATTAGACCTAAATTCTCAGGTGAACATAAAGTTCATCAGTCTAGAGAGATCTGGAAATTAGATCAGATCTCTACTTTCTTGCTGTCCAACATTTCAAGGAGAAAAAGAAAATCTCAGTAATCCAGATTGAAATGCAGTTAAACTAGTAAATAAAAAAGAAACTACAAATGCACAATGTTCACAGCACAACATTCATGCATGCTTATGACATCTTAACAGTTAAGTGTATTCTTAAGACTTACAGGTACAATTGCATATGCTAAATTTAAGCCCTTTACTGGTACAAATGCTGGCTATTTAAGAGAGCTGCTGCTGTCATCATATTCTATCAGTAGCTGGGAAAAAAAGAAGAGTTATTTACAGATTTCAACTTGTGGTAGATGTTAGGAATGATAAAAACTTTGTGAATCTTGTATCTCTGGAGTCCCTTGATCTTAAAGAACGATGTTAGTCCTACCTGTTTGTCTAGGTTTGACCTGAAGAGTTAAACTAGTATTAATACTGCATTATTAGAGAAAAATGATTCATTTACTAGTGCAAAACCACTGTGCTCCATGTGGACCAGATAAATAGTTCATTCAGCTTGAGAAGGCTCAGATTAGGACAAACACTAAAAGTACTGGATCTTTCTCTGTAAATATCTTCTGAGAAATCAACAACATGAAAACACACATTCCATCACATAATTTTATTGTGATTTTGGCTGACCTCTTTATTTTAGATAATCTTATTTTTAGTGCATGTGTTTAGAGTTTGGTCACAATTCATAAAAATAATTATTAAATCAGGAACTTAATGGGAGGTTTTTATGGGTTTGCAACTGACTCATAAATGAATCATCCAGGTTCAGTGCCATTGATTTTTATAACATCTTGCATAATAGAATCCTAATTGCACTTATAAGATTTCTAATACTTTACATAAATAATAGCACATGAAGCTCTTATTCTCCATTTTTTTCAGATCCTTCCTCAAAAACTTATCTCTGCTATGGTGCCCAAAAAGTCAGTAAAGACTGACAGTTGTTTAAGTCAATGCTTTTCTCCTCTCAGTACAATTCGGTTTTTGCATGCGTTACAATAAAACACATTTTGCTATTGAACTTGCAATTGTATTACTATGTACTAGGTAAAGCTAGGTAAAGCTCGGTTGGCAAATGTGTGGGAATCCTCAAACAATACAAAGTAACATCAAACCAGCAAAAGCAAAGTCCTGCACAAGACAGGTTCTTAGCTAACTGGTTTAGAATAGGACAAGGCTTTGGACACTAAAGGATGAACAAGGGCTAGAGACAGTTTCCTTGTGTTTGTGTGAAAGTGGCTTACATTAATTTCACAGAAGTCAGATGGAACAGGACTGAAGACTGCCCATGGCCTAGTTCTTTGTACATTGTAGTTGTAATGCGTAAAGCAATAGTATTTCCAGCTGTCACCTGAACTACGAAAAATAGAAAAGTTAACTTTCTTCCAGTATGTCAAGGCTTTATTATAAGTACTTTAACAATAATTGTTAAAATTCGAAGGAAACAAAATATTTCATTCCAAGACAAAGTAATAGAAGCCAGACAAAATGACTCAGTCTGCTTAAAACAAGGCATTTCCTCTGGAATTTGTTGCTTGATATTTGGTCCTGTTTATTATTCTATATAATACTCTCTCTGAAAGAGGAGCTGTTTGTCAGGAAAACTTTGGCTAATAAAACCAAAATATTTCAGCTCAACAATGATAGTATCGTTGAGGAAGGTGAATATAAAACCAGCAAAGAGTAAGCTAAACAATTAACATAGTGAGGGAAAGTATGTGGGAATGGAGGATAACAGAAATCTGATTTAAGCCAAATTAGTGAGAAACACCTATAAAACTGTCATAGGAAGGAATTTTGCAGTCCACGCATGGTAACACAATAAGGACATTTTCTTTCATGGCATAGTTTGAGTCATACCACTGACTATTTTCGAACTTGCGCTCACATGGAATTTCATATAAGTAAATTAGCTCAATTTACCCAAAGGTATGATTTCTGAAAGACTACTTAAACCACACTTTTAAGTGAATTAAGCTAAATCAAATTAAGGTCACTTAAAATCTGAAAGAGGGTGGCACAAGATGTACCCATGCAGTCCAACTGATCCTTCCTGAAATACTGATTTAGATACAAAATGTCCCTGCTAGACAAAATTCAGCAATTTTAGTTAAGAGATGTAAGCATCATTAAGATTCCCAGCGTAAACAGTGACCCTAAAGTGTCCTCCATAGGTTTGCCCTAAAGTAAGACCTGCACCTCTGATAATTTACCAAGGGTTTGTTACAGAGAAAAATGCTTTTTTTTCATTATCATTATTTCAGCTAGGTGCAAAAGAACATTAAATCCCTGATATATTTGCCCCTCTTGAGGCAGCAGATGTTTTCTAGTGACCCAGGAAAGGCTTCCCAATTTGTTAAAATGCTCTCGTCTATGGATCTAAAATCAACATGGAAAAGAAAATTCAGTGCCTATGATCAGGCTGGCAGCATTTCTCCCTTTTCAAGTCATGAGCATGAGAGAACAGGTGAGTGCTGCAGCTGATATATCACCTAATCCTGGCTCTGCCAAGTCCAGAAGAGAAATAATAGTAAACAGGGAAGTCTATAAATGGCTCCAGAAACAACATCTTGGTTTTATATAGTTTTCTTTGAGCTGTTAACAGTCAGGCGCCACTACTACTGAAACTTATCGTTATTAAAACCACAAATGGGCTCAGTGTCCAAAAGGATTCCCTTAGCTGGCTTAAAGGAAATAACAAAGTCCAACCCATAGAGAACAAACAGGAACAAGACTAAAATAAGTAAATGCCCACACAGAGAGATACTAGAATGTAATAGTTAAAATTGGACTTTAAAGGCCTCTTGCAAATGAGTGCTCCAGATACCGATCAAGGATAAACTGTGGTTTACACAACAAAAAAGAACCAGTGCCCAACCTGTAGAAGGCTCCCACCAGCCCAGCTGACCAACAGTATGAGAGGGGAAAGCTTCTACATTTGGCTTTTGAACGTCAGTGAAACAGCCTGGCTGAGGAATAAAGGACTTCTTGTGAAAAACAAAGACCTTGAGCTTAGTTTTAAAAGTGCAGGAACTGTGCTCCTGAACCTAATGATCACAGGGGGTCTATCAAATTCCCTTTCTCCTCTCCAACAGTGGCCTAGAACCAGACACCTCACTGAGAAGTGCCAGAAACCCTGAAACGAGCAGTTATGGAATAGACATCATGTTAGGAAAAATGTTTTCCAAAGCCGCATTAGTCAGATGAGTGGCTTCACTGTGAACTGGGACAGTTCATAATTCTACAGATGCTGTGCTCTTTTTCCAATACGCTTTCATATGTAACAACATAATCCTGTGTTTTCTCATTCTGCTTGAAAGTATCTACTTCCTTTCTAAATTCGGCTAAATTCCCGGCCTCGAAAGTATGTCGTGTCCATGTATTCTACAATCTAATTGTATCTGTTATGAAAAATCCCCATCTTTAACTTTATAGTCTATGCCCAACAAAACTGAATAAATAGGATGTTTTAATGAGCTTCATTTGTAATAAGCACAAATGATTTTAGGTAGCATCCTTTTACATGTTATGTCTATCCTCTTTAAGCCAATCTTAATTTTTCCAATCGTTCTTTAGACTGGAGTATTTCACTGTCTGCTCCCTAAATAATTCTCTCTGCCCATCTTTGAAATATTTATATCTAAGCCATATCCTTTTAAAGACAAAGCAAGCCAAAGACAGCTATTTACAGCACATAACTACGGGGTTATGTACAGGTAAGTTATAACATCCTCTTTGGCCTTTTTAACTGTGGCTGTCCTTTAAGAATAGATTGAGTTGTTAATAGTCATGCTCAGGTCTTTCCTACAGTGGAATAAGGGCAGGTTATGTGTATGCACAAGTGGTTTATTTAATTTCCCCTCTTTGGCATTTGTCAGTAAAAGCACAGACAACACTTCCAGGCTTTTCTTTAACTCCTGGGATTACATCCTGGGCTGGAATTTTTCTAACAGTGATACAAGAAACCGTGAAGTAATCTGGAAATTTTAGCCCCATCAGCTTCTGGGAACAGGAGCCCACAGGGCTGCCTCCAGCCATGTGAAGAGCTCTGCTTCTCCTGCATCCCTGGGATAAGGACCATTCCCAGAAAAGATAAGAGCGAGCCTGTGCCTCGGGACTTTTCTGCTAGTTCCTACTTTCATGTGAAGGAAGATTCCTGATGCTACTCATCTCCCTCTCCCGAGGACAAGGGTTGCAAAAAAGCAAGAGTGGTGTGGATAGAACACAGCTGTAAAGGACCTTCCTGGTCTTGCCGTCCTGTCCCTGCTCTCTGGAATAAGAATGTTACACAAGTGCCCTTCATTAACTTAACTACCACTCACCTTCAAATGATGGTCTTTCCCCCACAGCTGTAGTCCCAACCATCCCTGGCTTTAGGCCCCTTTTCATTTCCAACCTAGATCTCACCAGAATGACTTTACACATGTACCTCCTTGTGCCGTTTTGCCTGTTTGGCTTTGCTAGCTTCTCTCCCTAAGGTGTCCCTTAGTCCCGGAGCATGCTGTCCATTGCCCCTGCTCACAGTTAGACCAACATATTGCCCTTAGCCTCTTCCTCAAGGCCAGGCCGCCGTATTGCCTTCCTCACGGCCAGGCTGCCATGTCACCATGCACCCCCGGAGACCACAAGGTACCTCACGACCTTCCACCCTTGCCGCAGCCCCTGACCTGTGCAGACTGCCCACGCTAGCGGGGTGAGGTGAGGCCGCTGGCCCTCGCTCAACGGTGGTGAGGCAGGGAAAGCGCTAAGGCAGGGCTATGGCGCCTGCCCGGGCTGTTTTGGGCGCGGAACTCTGTCGGCGAGGGGGCGTGTTCCCAGCCGGGGCGAGCGGCCGAGCAGCGCCGGGAGCGTCGGGCGCCTTGGAAACGGACGGAAGCTGGGAGGGAGCGGCAGCGGCGGCAGGAGGATGCTGAGCCCCGAGCGGCTCTCGCTGCCGGGGCCTGAGTACCTGGGTGAGGAGCGGGGCGGCAAGGCAGACCCCGAGGGCCCCATCCCCTGGCTGTGCTGCGGCCCGGCATGGGGAGGGTATGTGGTGGGGCAGGGGGTGCCTTCGGCCTGGCTGCAGGCCCGTGGGGTGCCCCTCAGCTGGGCTTCGGCGGGCCGGGTCGGGCTGACTCCGTGTCTGCGTTCTCGGCTCGGGAGGGGGAAACACCGGGGGGGTACAGGTCGGTGTTACAGAGCGCTGCTTCTTCGGGTGATCCCTTGAGGTGGCGGGGCTGCGGGGCCCTCGGGGGCACAGGGAGCTCCCTGTGGTGACCGCCAAGGCAGCGCCGGTGTGAGGGTGGAGAGCCGCGGTCTCCTCCCCTGGCTCATCTGCACGGTGTGAGTAGGGGCAAGCAACGTCCAGCGGCTCTGGGCAGACTGTGACCTCATTTAGCCCGTTATCAACCTGCTTTGCTGACAGATCTATGTGAGAAACCTTAGTTTATGCTCATTTCCCAGCGTTGGAAAGAGTGCGCTTCTTATGTTGGGAGATGGTTTGAATGTCACCTTTTCATCTGAAATAAAGCAATATTGATAATGTTTCCCACATAAAATGGAAATCTTCTAGTTTATGAAGCAGCCACTCTTTTACAGCCTGCATCCTTTTAAGTTGTCTCTGTGTTATTGCTTGATGTTCCAGGAAACTAAGGAACAAAGTGATTCAGTGTTAATATGTCAAATAGAAATAATTAGGATGGAATAAAGTCAATATGACTTCATTTAATTGCTAAAGAGGAGATGAATTACAAGTAGTAAGCATTTGGAATGTGTTCAAGACAGTATTTTTGAAGTGAAAGTCTTCAGCCATTACTTTCTAGGCCCAAGAGGCTGTTTGGTTAATAACCATTTCAAAGGTATATAGTTTACCATGGTTTTCGTGTCCAAGGATAGGTCAGAAATGGCATGGATTGTTTTGTGCTACTTGTTCCACCGTGATTTTGCCATCTCTTATAAGTCAAAATTGGCATAAGACTAGAGAAACATTGCTGGCTTCCAGTAAATGGAAAACTTGTCTTGCAGGGAGGAGGCTAAAAGAGCCTTGTTTGTTTTGCCTAGCAATAGTGTTAATGAGGAGGCATCTGACTTAGTTCAAAGCACATCATAGTACTAAAGAAAGATGACTTATTAGCAGAGGAGTGATCTAATTTGTCTTAGAGTAGAATCTCTTTATGCTCTTGCTGCTAGGCTTCTGTTAGGGTATTTTGTGCCTACCTACATAACTGCAATGCTAGCCTGTGTTAAAGAAACTCAGGGAAGAAATAAGTGTTTAGTGCTCAGTTTGCGGTCTGTTTGGGGTGATCCTCAGGAGGCTCGCTTTGCTGAAGTTCTTATTGCTGATTTCAGTTCTGGAGCTGGTTCAGGTATTTAAGAACAGTATCACAGTGTGCCATGTAGATACACCCTTCGGTTTTGTGCTAATCTATCACACTGCACCAGCATTTTCAACCTACACATTAACAGAGAGACTCGTAACTTTTCCAGAGTTGCTCTAGGCTGAAACTTGCAAAACGAGCCAATTATGTTTTAGGTTCATTTTATTGTTTTTAATGAAATAGGCACTTTTACTTGTGTGAAACTTGTTGGTAAGGATTGAATCTCCCAAAACAACTTAGGAAGCACACTAAAAATTGTTGAAGTGTAAAAATAAACAAGTTTTCTGTTTCACATTTGAAGTTGAGAACTGAGACTTCTAAGAGATGTGTGAGACTGTTGGGTGCAAGCAGCTGTGTTGGCCTGCTTAAAGTAGGCCAGTCTGATCTACAATTCGCTTTTCATTTTGTAAAACCTTTTAAATTATTCTAACACTGGGGTCAGAAGAAGACACACGTGTAAGTATGTCAGATTGAGCTGTAACTTGTACAAGAGCCGTTTCTATTGATCACTTAGCATGTTCTTCTCTTCAGGTTGCAATATCTGTGGTCCATTAGAGGGGAAAAGGTGTCTGGTACATGATGGTATCTTTATTAGCTTTAAATGTTACCAATAACAATGGTTTTGTCTTAGTGAGATTTTGTAGCTTACCAAACCGCTCACATGTCCTACTGGATTGTGTATTAGCAGTAGGAAAGTGGTTAAAAAACAACCAACCAAACAACCTCCCCACCAAAACAATAACTCTCCTCCCCTCCAGTAAATCCACTTCTCCACACATTCTCGTAATCATAGAATCATAGCATCAACCAGGTTGGAAAACACCTTTAAGGTCATCAAGTCCAACCCAGGACTGCCAAGCCCACCACTAAACCATGTTACTGAGGGAATAGGATGCTTTTATGTTATGTTTTCTATACTAATCTGGCATTCTGAAATCACCGTTCTTTGGATTTCTTCTGTTGCGTGCCTCAGAGTCTCATCAATGTAGTTGTGTGATATGGGGTTGTAAGCAATTGTAACAAGTATTCACTCTCTGCAACTTCATTCTGAAGTTGTGCTGCCCGAGGCTGCCACTTAAGGTATTCTCTGAGGCTCCCAGATCAGATGGCACTGTCTTTCCTGACCTGCAATGTGCAAGCTTCACCTAACCTCTTTCTTCCGTTTTCCTTTTTCAATATCAAAGCCAGGCCAATAAATAAAATAAGTGGCCAAAATAATATTCCATACTACTTGCCACATTACTTTTTTTTTTCTATTTGAGATGATTCATCCACATCCAACTCTTCAACATCCCAGTTGTGAGTTAAAACAGAGGTGAACAGGGAGAAAATTAAGTATTTCCTTAATATGAAAAATGATTGCAAAGCTTTGGTAGAGCAGAGTTCTTGGAAAATAAAAATCAGGGCAGCACATCTCATGCCACAATGATTGTGAAGCTGTAAGTAGGAGAAAAGAGATGATTGATGCTCAGTGAATAGGAAAGGAGATGAGGTCTGTGGAGTTGGCAGAAAGGCTACAATGAAGATGTTGTAACAAGCAGGACATTTTAAACAGTATTTGCACTGAATAAACAACGTTTAGTGTTTGGGGACAGTGATGAAAATGTGCTTCTCATTTGATGGATGAGACTGGAACTACAGTAGGCAAATGAGGTCTATTTGAGGCACTTTTCCATGCTTTCCTCATTATGGTTTAATAACTGGTGATTGCTCAGTTATTTATAGCAGGCAATGGAGCATTTAGTGTATTGTTCTGCTCATGCAGCTGTCTTGTGAAGCTTCACGTTGTGTGCCCTCCCCCTGTTTCTTGTGGAGAAAAAGCAGTAGATTTTTATGAATTTCTGAACTTTATTTTTCTCTGGATTCTCCTCCCTTCTACTCCTCTACTTCAAATCCAGGATGTGCTTTCTTTTCTTCCTTTGCCAATATAAGACATGTAAGAACACAAATGCTGTTAGGGAAGTGCCTTATCAGGAAAGCATGGGGCTATTAAGTGCCAGAAGCATGGTCATGTTTCCTCATCTCTCTCATAAGAGGTCTCAGGCTTCATGATTAGAAGGAACATTCGTGGTATTGGTGCTTTTACAAAACTGAGTAGCTCCCAGCAGAGAACTTCAGTTGGGCTTGGTCAGCCTGGAGAAGAGAAGAGTCTGGAAAGACCTTTGAGCAGCTTCCAGTACCTAAAGGAGGTCCACAAGAAATCTGGAGGTGATCTTTTTACAAGGGCATGTAGTGATAGGACGAAGGGGAATGGCTTTAAACCAATTTAGATCAGATATTAGTAAGAAGCTCTTCCCTGTGAGGGTGCTGAGGCGCTGGCACAGGTTGCCCAGAGAAGCTGTGGCTGCCCCATCCCTGGCAGTGTTCAAGGCCAGGTTGGACACAGGGGCTTGGAGCAACCTGCTCTAGTGGAAGATGTCCCTGCCCGTGGCAGGGGGTTGGAGCTGGGTGCACTTTAAGCTCCTTTCCAACCCATACCATTCTATGATTTTATGGTAAAGTTATGTACAGACTTTGCAGATACTGAGGCTTTACTCTTCGTCAGAGCAGCCTTAAGAAATACTGAGTTGGAGAATCCAAGTGCAATCATTTTCTTTAACAGCATAATCAGTGTATAGGTTGTGTTGTTATCCAGACATCTCAGCTGACAGTCTCCTGTTAGTCAGATGCTTTATGAGCATCCGTGAGGCACTCTGACTGAAATAGTCTGGTCTTACAAAGAGAAGATGAAGACTTTTGTTTATATATTTTTAATTATTCCTTGCTCCCTTGTTTAGATAGGGGAACTATAATGTGAAAGATGAATGACTTCCCCACTGATGTGTAAGAGTTTTCTTGTTGAAATGTCACTTAAGTTTGAATCTTCTTAGAGTCAGTCTTTTTTTTTCTCCAGAAGATGGAGGTTTTATCCCTAAACCTATCCCTAGCCCTACAAGACTTCCACCTTAACTGCAGAACAGGTGAAATCCAAGAGAAATCTTGAGAATACGGAGTTCTCATTTGAGACAATACAAAATACAGTATAGTTATGCTGTGTAGCCACTTGGCAGGAACAGGACATTTCATAGAATCATAGAATGGTTTGAGTTGGAAAGGACCTTAAGATCCTCTAGTTCCAACTCCCTGCCATGGGCAGGGACACCTCACACTAGATGAGATTGCTCCAAACCCTGTCCAACCT